CCGGGAGGTCGACTGGGAGGCTCATAAGTCCGGCGTTGAACCGGTTGTAGTCCTCGTTGAATCGGCGCCGGGCGGCGGCGTCGAGGTAGGGCCCGACGAAAACCGTCTGCGACGCCTCGAGGTTCATCTCCCGGCAGGGGATGCGGAGGGGAACGGCGCCGCCTCCGGCGGCGCACCAGGCGGAGAGGTGGCGGATGATGACGCGGTGCTGGGCGGCGGCGTAGGAGCGGAGGGCTTTGGGGGAGAAGTTGGGGGCGATGCGGCGGCGGAGGTCCTTGTGGGCAGCGCCGAACATGTAAATGAGGTTGTGGTCGCCGAAGAGGCGGCGGCCGAAGGGGTGGCCGACGAGGTGGAAGGCGTCGGGGCGGACGTTGGAGAAGACGAGGTGGGAGGCGTCGGGGGAGCGTAGGTAGAGGATGAATCGGCCGGCGAGGTAGTTGGCGGAGATGCCGAGGGGGGAGGAGGCGGCGTAAGAGGACTGGCGGGACCAGAAGCGGGTGGGGTCGCGTACCATGGAGAGAGCGCCGCCGAGGAAGGGGAGGACGAGGGCGGGGCCGGGGAGGGACCGTTTCTTGCGGAGGTAAGAGATTTGTTCGAGGAGGATGAGGAGGACGGCCAGCGTGGCAATTGCCGGCGGAATGTACGGCGTGATGATGCTGCTGGACAATCCGAATAGTTGTTCCATTGTTTATCTTATTTTATTTTTGGGGGGATTTTTGTGATGGTGTGTGTGTTGATTTTATGAGGGGAAAAGGGAAAAAGAAGATAGATGAAAAAAGGGGAGACCCAAATGTTGGGTTTTAATAGTGGAAAATGCTACGGTCCCGTTACGGTACCATCTCGTTGGGTGTTTTAACCGTTGGATTCACGTATAGTTAGATGATCCAATGGTTAAAACACCGACGGGATGGTACCGTAACGGGGCCGTAGCATTTCCCTTTAATAGTAGTGTTCAAAGAGAAGGGCTAATGGACAAAAAGTTTGAAAGTCTTTTTAACGATGGAGTGTGGTTTTTTGGATAGTCAGATTCAGCTCCTCTATGTTACTGTTGAAAGGGGTTCTATTGTGGATACAGTGATAAGTCACTCTTACGGTAGACTATAGATGAAACCTAAGAGAATTAATGGTAAGAGAAACACAAAAATGATTCAAAACAAAAAAAAAAGAGATTAGAGAAAAAAGAGAAAAGAGCAAAAGTCACGACACATTGATTGCTAACCTATGGTGGATAATGTTACAAATTTATTTGCGTGATAGTTAGGGAAAAATATTTATTTTTTTTAGAATGATATAATATTTTAATTTGGAAAAACAAAGTTTCCAAAGTAAATTATGAAATGTCGTTGTTATGTTAACTGTTAAAAAGAGCAAAATTGACCCAAGAGCGCTTTGATGAGATGGCTTGGGTCTCTTCCAGCTTAACCAGTGGTTTCGTGTTCGAGCCCTAGGAATGCAGCAGTGTTAAAACTCTTGAGGGAGAGCTTTGCCGCCCTTGTGGTCCTACCCGGCTCGATTCCGGATTAGTCGGTTCCTCTGTGGATCCGAAAACCGGAAGGTCCCTGTACCAAAAAAAAAAAAGAGCAAAATTGTACAATTTGCAAAAATAGTTTTTTACTTTGGTTTTGTGTTGCAATTTTGGTTTGGTCATACCCACGCAAAAATAGTTTTTTACTTTGTTTTTTTTTTGTGTTGCAATTTTTGTTTGGTCATACAATAAGTCAAAGTTTTACAACTTGGGACCAATTTTGCAATTTGGGCAATTTTGTGGGACTAATTTCTCAATTTTTTTTTAAATTAATAGTTTTAATAATTGTTTTACGAAGTTGTATTGTGATATTTGAGTCTTACATTTTGATAAATTTTGAATTTCTTAATATTTTCTTTACATTATATCATTGTAACAATATTATCTCACGTGTGTGTATATTGTATTAATCTTTACAATAAAATAATCATACAATATTGTCTTTTTCCAAATTATATTTTAAGTGCAGAACACAACGATAAAACTAAGTAATTAATTTATTAAAATTCTCAGGGTTAATAGAATGAAATTTTAAAATAATATTTGTTAAGATAATATTATGTAAAAAATGATAATATTTATTTTTGATTAAAAATTTTATCTAAACATTATCAACTTTTATACATTTTATTATTGTAGTAAATATTACTGTGTTCTTATTTTGTTGACGGTCCAGCGTCAACTACACTTAAGTACGAACTATGGGGTGATTTAATGGTATTGTATAATGATAAAAGAGTAACGACCTAGAAATTTGGTAGTATATTGAAAAAAACATACCAAATTTGAAATCGAAAATTGCACGAGAGATCGGCCGATCCACCAAGGGATAGGCGGAAGATGATTTTGTATATGTTGTGTTGTGTAGTAGATGAGAGTTATTCTCAACTTTTTTCGTCTTGTTTTTAAGGACCTTCATGATCGAATTTATACACGAAAAAAGTAAGAGTCATTATGACTTGTGGGACAACTAAGGACCTAGGTAAGTGACACAGGTCCATATGAAAAATCTTGCCCTTTAATGATGAGCCCGATAAGGCGGTTGTTTTATTAATATACTTTGTTGGTTCTTGTTCACAATGTAGGGAGATTGTCATTTTTTGCAAGAAATGAGCAAGTAAGGATTGCAATTTTGACCAGAGCACAGAGAAGGTAGGGAGCGTCACTTCGGTGCAAATGTTGGATCGACTATGCCTCAGTGGTGGAATTTCTTTGAGCTTTCCTTCCTCACGGTTGGGCCCAATGTCTGATCTTCATTCTTCATGGCTTTGTGGGTCGGCCCATTGTAGAGGTGTTTATATATACATGCCCTCGGGTTTTTAGGTGTTTTTATGTCAGTATCTCCCTTGTCCGGTCTCTACCTCTTTTTAAGCTAACTTCTACGTCCTTGTAGTCATCACTGTCCAACGCATCATTTGTTTGGTCCTCTTTCTTACTTTCTGGTTTTGTGTGAATTTTTAAACCTGCGGATTTACGATGAGTTTTATTAGTTCTGATACGAGGTTAAGACACTGACCAATATTGTGTCCATACGACTTGTGATAGGTGCAATAGTGGGACTTGCCAAGCTGATTTTCATTAATTATGATCAACCTGGGGTCTAGAATGATTCCTTTTGTTTTTAAGTTATTCGTGTTGTTGCTTACGCAATGCTCAGGCTTGGGCCATTCAGGCATCCTTTGTGGGGTCTCTGTCCGGCTTTGGATCTTTACCCTTTGTAGCAATTGTGTTAGGAAAATCAAATAACGAGATGGGCATTGACTCATTGGCTATCACATGTTGTTACCTCGTGCTAAGAACTTCTGGTATGCTTGGGGTTTTTAGCAGGACATCGAGTTCGGCATTAACCCGAAATAAGCGGACACCAACAAAGTCTCATGTTCGCACGACTCCATGTTTTCAACGCACCAATTAAATCAAGCAATGTAATCTTTCAAACTCTCCTCGACTCCTTGGGCATTGTTGATGATGGATTCCTTAGGTATCATGTAGACTTGGGACCCAACGACGTGAGATCAAAAGGTCGATCTCAAATGTTTCCAACTGTGGACGGAGTGGGGAAAGAGCAAGTGATTCAACTTTTGTGCTTTGATTCTCAAAGTCTGCGAGAACATACAACACCTAAGAGAATTTCTTGTCCCATGAAGGTCCATCCAAGAGATATATAGCCCGAGATTGGCAGCATGGTATAAATTCTCATTTTACAACCCTATTTGTGGCACTTTTATTTTTTAATGCAATGGTTCTTTGAGTATGGTGGATGATGGAGGCGAGATCGGATCGACTGACAGGACGGCCGGAGGTTGTGCTGCTGATGGTGCCAACCTAGTAGTTAGTTTTTGGCGAGCTTCGAGTTCAATTATTTTTTTTTGAGGCCGCGATTTCCATCATGTCTACTTTTAGTAGATTTGTTCTTTTATAGTTTATCTCTCAAATGGCCGGCTTAAGTTGCATGTGTCCCAGGCGGTGAAAAATTGAGGGGGTCGTGGATTTGGTGTTGGTTATGTCACTTGACTAGCTTTCCCATGTCCCCTCATTTCAGGTGTAGTTTACTAGGTCTCCTTCAAGTTTTTAAGTCGACTTTTATGGGAGTGTGGATGTTGTGATTGAGCTGGCCCTTTTTCCTTGTGTGGGGAGGATTGATATCTTTTTTGGCGGGGTTTTTAGGTACTGTCGAGGGTGAAGGCAAAGTTTGGGCAAAAAGACTGGAAAATCTTTTCACAAATTTTGGGTTTTCAAACAATGTGGAAAATCTATATTTTGGGCCACTCTAAGGCTCTGTTCGGTCTCAGGTGAGTCCGTTCGGTATGACAGCTGCTTGAAGACATTTTTCGATGAGTTACACCAAACAACATATGAGCTTACAGTACAATCTGACACCGTTCACTAGTGTAGTATAACTTGTAGTATAAGTTTTATACTACTTCTAGTAAGTACAATAGCATTGCTTAATAACTTCTTGGGAATCCCAAAGTTCAGGATGACTTGAATGGGCGACACATGTGCCTACAAATGGGTGCATAAACATCTCATCCATAATCATTTGCACTTAAAGTGGTATTTAATCGAAGGATTTGAGTTCGGTTTCTAGGTGTGTTCGACATCTTCGCGTTTTACCCTCTTATACTTTGTGCTATACTTGTTGTTCGGGTTCGGCCGATCTTTCACAGCATGTGGGGTCGGTTCGAGGATTCACCTACTCTAAAATATGTTCGACAATTCGGATGTCAACAAGAGTGTAAAAATTTGATCTGATAGATCAAAATCGGTTTTAATCTTTAACCAATTGTCCTATTTTCCTTTTTTTTTTTTTTTTT